TTGTAAAAAAAAAACTAAATTATGCATATATCAACAAAAAATATATTGCATAATTATTTTTATCAATTAATCAATTTAATTATTGTGGAGGGATTGGCATTGCCAGTTCCGATGAGACAAACGATTTCTTCATTTTCTAATACCTACATGTATTTTTTAAAAATCGTAACGATCATAAAAAAATCAATATTGTGTTGTCTTAATTCTTCTTGGCATGTTGTCAATAAGATCCTGGAATACATTGTAAAGAATTTGAGAACATTCCTCTTTCAATAGAGCGTCCAGCTCTGTTGCATTCTGGGATAAATTATTCGGTTCTTCAATCTCCTTTCTGATTGTATCATAAACTGTAGTATTGGGATATCAAGTATCTTTTGCAATTTTTTCAACAGTACTACCCTTTATTTATTCTAGGACCCAAAAAATTTCCCTCGCTCAGTCTCAGTTTAAATTATTGTTTTTGATCATTGTTAAAAGAAAATTTTTTTTTGATCTGATCAGTTTTGTTTTTAATAACGAAATTTCTACGCGTGATATAAACATGAAAGTAGAAACCTGCCAGTAAACACGTGGACTTGGCTTTTTTTGAAAATTTGTATAGTTCTTCATAAAGAGAAATTGACCGATGAGTATTTCCTTTTATCCCATAAACTGTCGCCAAAGCAGATTTAATCAAAAATGAAGGAAAATTTAATTCCGGATGTTCTTTTCGTAAATCATGCAACTCATCGATCATCTTTTCTAATTGATGGATAATGTGAGAAGCATCAAGTTGAGGATTATTAATAACCATTCTAACCTGACTTTTTATATCGGTAAAAGTTTCAAGAATGACATCTCGCCGACGTTTGACCTTAGATGGTTCCGACCCTTCCAATTTACAAAGTCTACATTGACAATTTATACCAAATGTATCTTTGAGAGTATTGCATCGTTCTTCGTATGGACTATCAGAACTACAATAACTTAAAACTAGTTCCTCCCCTTTTAAAACTAGCCGGGAAGTCCTTAAAATCATCAAATCGCCAAAACCTACCCAACTAACATTGTTATCAACACATGCGTGATTGAAATAAGATGGCAAAATCCATAATGCTGTCCCGTTCTTTTCAACATCTAATAAACTCATTCCTTCAACATACTCAGAAACTTGTTCATAACTCAATAATGAAAAAGTATTATATTTAACAATCTTTTCAATCCTATTGATATCTACTGAATGCAATGCATTCTCATCACGTTTAGATATTGGGGCTAAATCTGGACCACTATACAACTTATAAATCTCCTTACGAAGGTCTGGCTCATCTGTAAGCCTCTGAGCAATATAAGCTATTAATTCATTTTGTGTTCCTGTATTCATAGACTTTGATGAAGCATCAATATTAAAACTAAAAGGAACTTCATATGCAAATATCGCTTTAAATGCTTTTGAGACCATCAAAAGAGTACCTTCAGGAATATCACATTTGGCAACCCAACCTCTTCCTTTCTTTTTGACATTACGAATTTCAATATCATTACTCAAGTAATCAGCATGATCCAATCTAGGTCCAATTTTCTCAGAGTCATTAACAACTGTTAAGGCATTCAACTTTTCACAAAACTCATCAACAATATTAATAAAATTATACTGTCCATTTCGACTTTCCAAATCCAACATTTCTGCATGCTTCAACAATTGCTCAATACTTTTCCTAGTTGAAATAGTGGAATTATCAGTACTTGATTGAATTTTTTGATGGAAATCTCTAAGCATAGTTATAGCTTCTTGATAACGTTTAAGACCACAAAGAGCTTTACCCATACGATAAATTGCCTTTGGATGATTACTCTCGTTGTTAAGAGTAATTTCCAGATCAGTAATAGCATTTGTAAACCGACCCAATCTTAAATATGCTTCTGCACGATTAGAAAGAAGTGTAGCGTTATTTGGTTCAAGCTCAATACCATTTGAATATTCGTTGATTGCTGATGCAAAATAATTAGATATAAAATAATCATTTCCACGACAACGAAAATCATCAGCTGATAAAATTTGCTTGTCAGGTTTTTCGAGATCTGTAGACCATTTGATTTCTCTAAACAAATTATTATTATTTCGATCAATAATAACAATATCACTAGGATTATCTGAACGAAGTGTAGTGGTAAAATCAGCAGTTGTTTTATAATATGGGTTTTTAATGATAATCACAGTTCCAATTGGTAGAA